GGCCTGATGAACCTCACAGACTGACAGGCACAAATAATCAGCTGCCCTTTAAAGAAAAAAAAACAAACATATATACAGTACTAACAGTTTCCTGGCTGGTGTTGTTTATATCACACCGTTGCTCTCAGAAGCCGCAGGAGGGGAGCGTCTGTGACCTTAAGAGATGTGGGGCCTGTACTGTCTAATTCCATGTTTATGGTTTTGCCTTTTATAACACACACAGACGGAGCTGCCCAGGCCACAAGCACACGGAAATATCATCATGCGCCCTCTCTGCTGCTAATTGGTGCCTTGCTACCATCCCTCTGGGGAGGATTCAGCTTTGTGCTGGGCGACCTGAGGAGCAGCTCCAGCTGCAGATTTTGCTTCTCATTCTCCCACTTAGCTAAATGTTCTGCACGACTATCAAACCCACTTCAAAATACATCTTACGAGAAACATTTATCACAGTAAAAAGATTTAAAAGATAAACCCAAAATATACCTCCATGGATGGAACGTAACAAAGCAAATAATTAATTCATGTTCATTCACAGCTACTGGTTAATTTAAACCCTTCCAATCTGCTATTTTCAGTGTTAAAGTGATGCAGACAAACTGATACGTGATCATTTTATTATTTTTAATTTAATCTAAATAATTAAATGCATATGCTTTTGTGCATTGCCATATGTTAACAGGATTTGAAATTTTTTATTCTGCACTTTGTAGCATTGCTAGGACTCACTCCACTAGTATGTAATTATACAGTGTTTGAACTGATCTGTACTCACACGCTGTTAGTGCGGCCTAAAAATAAATATAACATTACACGTGTTCAAAAATACATACAAATGATTTATCTCTTCTCTCTGTGTTCAATAAAAACAATGTTTGACTTTTTGTTCGTATTGACTTCACTGACTGACTTTCTTTTTCGAACAATTAAATTATATACCAATTTGACACTATGGTTTCCTTGGCAACAGTGCAAATTACTTTGACCAGCATTAAAAAAAAAGCCTCAACAAAAGCCTTAAATCAAATGTTCAGTATATTCATTGATTTAACACAGACGCGGGGCTGAATTAGGTTAGATGCATAATAGAAAAAGTTTTCTCACATTCTCAGTTAGCAGACTACAGATTTCATGATGCCACTTCAAAGGTTTTGCTTTATTTTTTTCCTGAAGCACACATCTCAACGAGAAAGCTCCGGGTTTTAGCACACGTGAGAAGAAACCAGACAAAATGGTACATGTGCACGAGAGAAGCCTGCTCAACGGCATGGGTGGGAATGGAAGCCTGAATTGGCTGGAGTGCTGTGGCTGATGCTGAGAGGACAACAAAGTAATTATGGGACAGTTAAGGATATGCATAGCACTGAGAGAGTGAGTGAGAAGAAACCAGAGACTAAGAAAAGGAAGTAGCAGAAGAAGAAAGGGTCAGGAGGGGTGTAATGACCTGCTGCAATCTCCATCACGCCAATTAATTAGCCTCTGACTAGCAGCCATCTGGAACAGAGAGGGCACTTTTTCACTCGGCTGTCTGTCTACCTATCCACGCTCAGATTCATACATCCTCATTTTAACACTTTATCTATTTTTGTATTGCTTATTCTTCCATCTGTCTGTTTCCCGTATGTCTAACTATATGCAGATCTAACTGACAGTCAGACTGTTTTGGCTCTCTCCTCCAACTGTGTACCATATTGACTAAAGACCCTGATGAATCCCAGTTGTACGGGTACATATTCATAAAATGTACACATCTAACGTCACACTCAAACACACACAAAACCCTGACAAAGGAGTAGCCGACTGCTCCAGCTGCACTTTCTTCTTTTTCCACAAGGGGTCATGATTACACTAAAAAGACTCTTTCCAGTGTTTTTAGCCCTTCTCTGCAGTCATTTGTGTCTGTGTGCAGGTGCAACCAGACTGTGGGATTCTTTTGTATTTGGATGGTTTTTGCCTGGTGGTACAACAAAAGCAGATTCACATAAGATAATCAATTATGATTCCACATTCAAGCTGCATTCACACCTAAGATCCCCATAAATCAATGCTGATTGCTCAACCAATAGCAACAAGCATTCCACTGTGAAAGAGGAGCAAACATTTAGAAAGAGATGAGTAGTTCACGTTTGTTCACACACGTTTTACATCTGAGACTGGAATTTTGAAAAGGTTATGAGCACTGCAACAACAAATACAAGTAGCACAAAAAACCCCCAAAAAGCTAAATAAAGACAACTTTTCAGACAATAAATAAAAGAATGTTGGTTTCTGTGACAGTCTCTCTGCGTGTCTGTTATTAAATGTGTAAGCTAGAGAGAAGACATTCAAAACAGCTTTAGTTTTTGGGATACACCTTTCAGTGATAGAAGAAAGTACAGCAGTCATTTAAATTCTTTAAAGCCTCCCTTATGTGAAACGGATCCTTGTATAAAAATACTTCTTTATTGAGTAAAATAAATAAAAAGGTGTCAGACACCCTGAAATTGGTACAGAATCTTTAACAGGTAAAGTCACTATATTGGCTATAAGAGATATTCAATGGGAGGGTATTGTGATTAACCTCACGCCATTAAAACACATGAAGTTCTAATTTGATCCATTTCTATGAGCCACAATCAACACAACTTCATGAAACGGCCAAAATTATCTTTTGAATATTTTTATAGGATTTGAAAAACTGATAGTTAAGAGCCTGATCAGCTGCTAGCTGCAGTTCTTCTGTTCTGTTTTGGACTAAGCAGCTGATTTATTGACAACCAGAATAACTGCAGTGTTACACTATAATACTTTGCACTGACAATAACTCTCAGGACTATCATACGACTCCTGTTCAGGTAATGAACAAATGGTGCCACTCTCTTTTGTGACACCATAATAAAAAATTTCACCAGCTTTTAAAATCACTAATACTAATGCACTAGTTTGTTAAACTGTAATAGAAATGTATCTGCACTGAGTTTATTCAGTTTGTGGTTACATTAAACGTGTATTCTGATCTCATTTAATTTATTTATGCGCTTCTAACAAGTTGAGAAACAAAAGGGGATTCTTTAGAGTATTATAATGCTTATTTACTCTTCCTTTGTTGCTTTGGTGTCTTATGTAACTGTTTTTGTTGGAGGGCTGCAAAGTTTCAAAGTCCACTTCAAATTGAGTAATTCTCTCTGGCCGAAAACCGTGCCGCTCGATAGCCTGAAACACCTTTTTCTGCAGGGCTAGACTTTCTTCAGTGCTTATCTTCCTCACCGTGTGATACATTTGCATGATGCTTACCTAACAACCAAAAAGGAGAAAGCAGCAGCCTAACGGTCCCTTCTCTAACTAAAAGCTGTTCTGTTGCTCGCTGCAAGAGCAAATACAAGAGTCTTCACCCACTTCCTGCAACTGCAGAGCAAAAGTCCCTGTTTATTATATTCATTTAATGGCACCGTCCCCAAAGCAAAAGGAAAACCCTTAGTGAAGACACTATGACGAGCGAATGAGCCTAATGTCACCTTTAGCTTTGATCATTTGCCCCTGGGGCCATTTGGAACTTGTAAGGCTAAAAATCATAGTCTGTGTTGGTTAAAATCACCCGGCCTTTTTTTAACATTCCCAGAAAATGCATGTTAACAAAAGAGAACATATTTTGCCAAATTTCTCAGTTTGGATCTTGACTCAAGTATAACAGAATCCTTCTTTCGTCTTGTTTCATTTCCAGCTCTCTGAAAGTTTAACCAAAAATTCATCAGGGTGGCTTTTTGGGTATGCTGTTGATAGACGAACAAACAACTCTGAGGAACAAAAGTTCAGCATGCAAGTACTTACAGAAATGGTTAAGCCATTATCTGAAAGCATTGTGCACTGTGTAACAAAACAGCTTTTACAGGAGTCTCTTCTGTCCCCAATCCAATTCTGGTTGAGCATGTAGGGTTGAACTTAGAACTATATAAACTGTGCGATTATCAGTTTGGGTTTTTTTTGGAGGGCAGTAATTTTAGGTGTCCGCACTGGGCCACCCGAACTAATTACAGAACAGAATTTCTTTTGGAACAGGCAAGTATTGGATTCACAAAGCAAAACAACCCACCACAGAAGAATTCAGCATGCCCAGAACTATCCCTTGCTCTTTGATTGAATCCAGCACACAACTATAAAGTACAATAGGTGACCAGTGACTTATTTTTGTGTGGGTAACTGACCACTGAGAGCAGGGGGGGGGGGGGTGGGGGGGGGGGGTGTGTAGCCTAGAGGAGAGTGAAATTTAGTGTTATGTAAAAAAGTAACTGGAATTTATTTTGAACAGTGTAGCATGTAAACCTTTTTTAGTGGACCGTGCTAAATAAATAATGATGTGCATAATATGGCCAATTTAAAAGATTTGTTTGTATTATTAACTAAAAAACACATCTGAAAAAAAACCCAGAATGCTATTTGTATTTTTATTAACAGAATTAGGTAGTAGCAGTGACTTACCCCTGTTAGATGTGTGTATATTTTTGGATAATCAGTTACCCTGGTTAAAATAATTCTGTAAAAGTAATTATATAATAATTAAAACATTTATAGGACATTTATAGGAGGTTAATGCCACTGGGGGGAAATGAATAAATGAATAAATAAAAATTAAAAATTATAAAAAATTTGGTCTATTGAAAGTTCATGTTAGTTGTAAATAATTATCTGAAAATTCTGACTTAATAACTCAAAGGATTCGAGATGTTATTTCCAGATTTAACATAAGATAACATGACATAACAATTTGAAACTTTGACGTAATAACCCACAATCTTAACTTACTTGATCTTTAACTTACTTTTTTGCAGTGTTGGAACCTAGCTTCAATTGTTATATCTAAAGGCTGTAATAATTTAAGGTTTATATGTTTTCTGTAAGTAGCACAGAGATTCACTGGGTATGGAAATTGTGGATAACGATTAATGCGCTAGTAATAAACCCGTAACAATCTGTTACTTAACTACACTCTATTTCCCACAGTGCTCCGCTCTTGAGTGCACGTGTCAATGATGCCAGCAGACCGGACTGAACGTCACATTCCTGCATTCCCTTTTTCCTCAGTGTGGGACGTCGGAGTTGCCACTGGATAGCTAACCCTCTTTCCCCCTCGCTTTCTTTTAGAGAAACACACCCATGACACGGCGGATTTAATCTCTGGAGGCGATCCAAGGTTCGCCAGGAGTTCGCATTTCACTTCGGGTGAGGATTTACTTCGTTTTAAGACAACAGAAGGTGTTTTTCGGTTGGAGCGTTTCAACCGTTGTAACGAGATAACAGTTTTAAGAGATGCGCTGGATTTGCTGCGAGTTGTCTCAGTGAGTGACCTGGTTATGCTGGGATTGGTTAAGCCTCCACCAGCAGACCTGTTGATACGACAGAGGTGACGGAGACTTGTTTGAATTTGTAATTTATAGCCTTTCGGTTACTGCTCCTAAGGGCTAACGCTAGCCGGCTGGTTAGCCGCAAATCTTGCGTCACCATTGTTACCGGCGATACGCGGGCACACGCAGACACACAGACACACACAACAGGGCGTGGAAGTGCCCCCAGATGTGGCTTTGTTACCTTAACAGGAACAATGCTGTGCAGCTGTTTTCAAAACCTCTGACATAAACGAACCGTCATGTATCGCTTCACTGACCCCGGTACACACGGTACTAGCATCACAGACAGCATGGGCGTGGTTCTAAGTGCTAAATTTAAAAAAAGAAAGCTTAAGCTATAGTGGCACAGGTTGTTAGCCTTTCTTCGGTTTCTGTAACGTTGCGTCATACTTGCTTGACAGGAATCATGGGAACAGTCGCTTAAAGCGTTAAAGTCAATCAGCTGTGCTGAGCTAGCTGCAGAGCAGCACACTGTCTCAGCTGTTGGCCCTCACAACAAAGAGTGGATCATCACAGCTGCGACTGTGGCAGGACAGAGGCAGATCAACATTTCTGTCAGATTTGGAACGTCTGTCTAAATATATTTTAACATAAACTTTAGCTCATACTCCAATGATGAATGTGTTACATGTTATTCATTAATCATGCAGTCCTTAATGAGAAAACTTGGCAGACTTAATATTTTGATCACTAGCCAACCTGACTGTTGCTCTTTAGCTCATACTTCGGTGAAGTTTGCGCATGGCATTCCTGGGATTCCAGCTGTTTAGGGACTGATTGGATCAGAGTGACTTTACTGATTTAAGGAATGTTTGCATGCTGCTACAAGTCAAAAAGCAGAGACCAAGGTAACCTTTTTTAATGCAGACTTAGAAGCTAGACCTATTTTGCATGATTGCATTATACAGGTGGTATTATTAATAGAGAATTTAAAAAAAGATTGTCTGCAGTGATGAAAGCATGTCTCTGCAGTGTATTTACCTTGTCACATTACTGTGATCACTCAGGAGACATATGCTATTTCATTAGAATGCCAAGTGGTCAGTCATGCTCAGCCACTTTCTCATTCTGTACATGTACATGTAAAGTCCACCCATTTGGTAACATTTAGCTGTTGTGAAGATAGTTCAGTCAATTATGATTTGGCCATGATCTGATAGTACATGAGCAAAGACATACTTGGTTGAGATTTGCCTACAGTTGCAGGGAATTCAAGGATATGTATGAAATTGAACTTTGATAATATGCCTATATTACTATCATCAAATAGCTGATCAAGAAAAAGAAAGATCTGATACACTATGTGCCCCACATATGCTCAATAAAGGATACTGTGGATTCTTAATACACATTGCTACAGTTAGGAAATATTAGAAATATCCATCCATTTGCTTTTTCACTTTGTGATATGTTGTGTAGTTAGATTGCTCTCACATTAATATAAAACTGAGTTTTGCTGATGTGTAAATGTGGCCTGAAAAAAAGTTTCATTCATACTAATCTAAGCGTCAGTGCACCATCATCACCCCTGTGATCTGCCATCATGGCGCATGTGAATCCTGCATTGACGTGATGAACGATCGTTATTGTGAACTCTGTCCTGGGAGACCATACAGGGACAAAAAAAGAGAAAAGACAATAATGAAAGGCTGATCTCACCAGTGATGCCAGGGTTAATTTCCATAGCAGCAGGTAACTCTTACCTCTGTGTTGTATGTCAACGTAAGCATTAGAAAAGAGCTGGTGTTTAGGTCATGATGTAGACCCGGTTCCCTGTATGTGCGTGTAGCGCTTTGAAGAATGTGGAGGAGGCACAAATATAGCAGCAATCTTACGGAGAGAGTGGGAGCTGCCTGCACAAAACTGGATCATCCGGAGTCAGGCTGTAAAGCAGAAATCTAGCCTTGTTTCAGTGGGGGCTGCTCCTCATTACATTGCTTCTCTGGAACGGATGAGTGAGTGGGAAATGAGAAAGTGAGGATAGAGTGATTACACGGTTGATGAATCAGAGAAACATACAGCAGTTCTGTGAGAGATGACGGAGCTCCAACATGTTATATACTATGGTTTTTGCAGTAAGCCATTGTGTTGCTACTAGTTGTGTTGTTTGTGTGGTTGATCTCTTTGTCATCATCTCAGCCCTGACCAATAATAGCCACAGCTCTGTTGAACACTCACCTTTGTGCCTGTCTTTTGACTTTTGGTTGCTGTTCACCTTTAAGGTCTCAGGACTGTTATCTACCCTCCATACATGTTAGGAAGCCTGTGAGCAGGTCAGCATGCCCTCATTTGTTTGTCACACCTCCACGCTCGTGTGTCCGGACAGAAGAGCATAGCAATGTGGAGCTTCAATCCCAGCAGTTCTGCAGTACTGCACATGCCCAGTCCATTCCCATTTGGTCAGTACAGGGACAAAGAGGGACAAAAGAGGACAATGAGGCTATTGTTTTAAGTATACACACACACCATTGTACCTCCCCTCTCGTGTGACATGTGCACACACTGTTAGTCTCTTCCACTGGATTCAGGTCGTTCTAATCACACACTTATGTGTACAAGTGTACACATAAGAGGGAAAAAATGGAATATTTTTATATTTTGTTTTATGTAACTTGTATTGCAGTGTGAAAGAACAGGTAGTATTTTATGACTTGAATAGCTCTGCTAGGAGAGTTGATCTTTGTAGAATGACTGTGTGATTTTGCAGTGGAGCGCATCTTTGTAGAAAAAAAATCTATATTTATAAAGTGCCAAAAAAGAATGACCTCTTAAGCTGATTTACATCAGTTGTTCTTTAGAGAACTTTCATGCAGTCGTTTTCAACACAACAATTCGTGGAGGAGAAACTCTTCCAGCGCTAGGGAGATGAATGAGGGCAGGATGTCAGACAAATGAACGGCATTGAGCATCCAGTTAATTTTCAGAGTTAACTGTGGGGATTAATTGCTATCAGTGTGCTCTGAAGCCATCAGCAAAGATCATCATCATCAAGTATAACTGAAGCTGAATGTCTAACCTTGAGGCTCCCTATCGCACATAAATTTATGTTTTTATATTGTTATGACTGTAACTTTTAGCTATGTAAAGATATTCCCCTTGTTTAGCCCTGACAATTCCCTTGTATCCATGTCATCTTTAGTAGTAACAATAATAGATCTACAAAGGCAGTTTTCTCGATTGTTGCCACCTGTTGCTCTGGTAACAGGATTTCTGCTTCTGTTTTGGTGCTGTACTTCCCGATGCCTGTCAGGGGTATCCTGAGGTTGACTACTTACCTACGTTGCAAACTTGACCAACAAGCCACCCCTCTCAGGCTTACGGAGGTTTGAGAATGCCCTTTTTTTTTGCCTTTGTATGAAAACCATAAGATGGACAAATATAGGGGATGCACTCTCTAAAGTGTGACGAATGTCTGAAAAGAAAATGAAATAGAATTTCCAGTTTCACTACCGAGACGCATTATGCAGAAAAAGTGTCGCGGGAGAAATTGTGATTGATTGGTGCCAGCCACATAATGCTTATTATTATCCCTCGGCTTTGTCAGAGAGTGGCACGCAATGTGAACAGTGACACTTTTTCAACTGCATTTTGTAGGCGATATATTTAAAGTGTTCATGTTTGCTAGGTAAGAAGACGCGCTCATCCTGGTACTACCGGTTCCAGTGAATGCAAAATAAGGTGCAGTATTAAAAGGATTTATTTGTCATTTACTTATAAAATAAATGAAGCACGTTGTGGAGTCCTGTATTATGATAGAAAATTGTCCATTTGTCATTACATACTGGCAGAGGTGTAAAAAATCTTTGAATCTCTGTGTCTTCAGTGACTGTTAATGTTTCATATGCACACAGGTGTTATTAGTACCCTTTGCTGACTGTAAAGCCCTTGATCCTAAGCAAAGTATGTGGTTGCTCCATTTAACCTATTTGCATACATCTATTACAGCAAGTATGTCTGCTGAATGATTAGAGTCAAAGAAGGCACGCAGCTCTTCTGCTCTCAAGAATAGACTACTCCAAATTATATTTAAGCTCAAGTGTGAGTTTCTTAAGCTGCCAGTCAGTAGTAGACCAGATTAGACGTATTACCAGCTCTCACTGCATGGGGTGAGAACATTGACTTGGATTCCCACTGGGTAGACGGGGTCTCATGTTCTGCTCTGTTTGGCTTGTGAGGATTATGGTTCTTACTGATTGGTTGTTGTGTAACCATATCAAAGGTTGCAAATCACCGAATGGTTTAGGCTTGTTTTTCTGTATTCACACAGTAGAAGCTGTGTTCTTTCCATTACAGCTGATTTCTTTTTAGTGAGTAAAATCCACGAAGAGAGTGACGCACATCACGTGAAGGAGTCCAAAAAGTCTGTTCCGCACTCTGACGCTTAAATTGAGTTTGTGCTTATGTGTTAAATTTTCATTGTAGGTACACTGAAACCAAAACCCCCCCCTCCCCCAGCCACAAAAACCTACACCGAAACCTGGTGTGGTCCTCGACAGAAATGGAAGACTGGTTGGCCCGTTCAGTACCATTATTTCTTCCTTTTTGTGGATTTTCCATCTTCTTTTTCTGCTGCCAGTTTTAGAATTGACTGGAACAACTCGAAGTTAAAAGCTCCATCATGGTGGTAAAGCATGGTACAGGTACAGCATGCACAGGTATAAATGCTGGGAAAGGCATCAGCCACTAGGCTATGTCATAGGCTCAACATAGATCCAGGGCACAAGTCATATTTAAGCTTTAGGAACAATAATTCAGTTTGTTCAATATCTCATTCAGTAGGCCTGGCAGTGTGTTAATTCAGCACATCAACAGGCT